TCTCTCTCTCTCTCTCTCTCTCTCTCTCTCTCTCTCTCTCTCTCTCCTTTTTCTCTTCCTCTGTCCCTCCCTCTCCCTCCTTTTCTCTCTCTATCACTCTGTCTCCCCTCTCTATCTCTCTGCCCATCTCTGTCTTACTCTTTCTGCCTGTCTCTCTGCCTGCCCCTCCTGCTTCCCTCTGCCACGCACCCTATCCCAGCTGGGCCATCCCTGTCCCGCTTCCTGGCTGGGTGCCCAGCCTGGGACACCATCCCTGAATCAGCATCTTCCCGCAGTTCCAGAAATGATGTCATTGACGCATCAGTGCTCCGCTGGTACTGTCGCGCCCCTGGCTGGTGGTCCGCCTTCCGAATGCCTGTCCAAAGGCCCTGCTGCACACGGCCAGCTACTCTTCCCAGTGTCTGTCCTCTCTGTAGGAATCACCGGCAGAGGTGAATCTGTATTTGCACACATCTCTGTTTACCTCCAGGCACATGTGTGTGAATCAGTAGGATTGGTGAACACCCATCCATCCATCCACCCACTCATCCATCCTTTCATTTATTCTTCCAGTATCTGCCCATCCATCCCATCGTATATCCACCATCCAACTGTCCACTCATTCACCCATCCATCCCACCAATACCCATCTGTCCGCCTATGCATCCCCCCTCCAACACAACATCGGTCCATCCATCTTGCCCCAATCATTCATCAATCCATCACCCATCTTTCTGTCCATCCACCCCTCCATTCATCTCTCCCCTTATCCCTCCAGCATCATCCATCCATCCACCTGTCCACCCATGAATACATCTGTACCCCCCTTCTTTTCTGGATCCACCCTCTTGTTCATGCATTTGTTCTTAGCTCAGCTAGCCAGAAGCGAGTGGCACAGACCACATGGCAGGCACTGAGTTGGGCAGCTCAGACACAGCAATGACCAAAGTGAGTGGTATTCCCAAGACACTGTGTGCCATGCAACCATCCACATGCCAAGTTGCTCCCATCCCCAGGCCTCTCCTAGAAGGCTACGCCTCCTGGAAGCACTCGCCCCTTTCTCTCCCATCTTCCCCTGGCCTACACCCATTCACCACTCAGCCCAGCTCTCGTGCCTTGCCCAGGGAAGATGCCAGCCCCGGTTTCCTTCTTAAACACGCAGTAGCTGGACTTGTCTTCCTGGCACGGCTCCTAGCGTGAGGCGCCAAGGATGTGCTGTTCTTTGCTTCTTCGGTCTCCTCTGCTAGGCCAGAAGCTCCCTCATGCCAGGGTTCTGCCTGTTTGTTCCCAGCCAAATCTCTGATACCTAAAAAAGCATTCGACACACAGTAAGTGCTCAGAAAGTATCTGTGAGATGACTTCGCAGATCGATGGAATCTGTGTGACAGCCTCTCTCTGTCTCTCTGTCTCTGTCTCTGTCTCCCTCTCCCCCTTCCTCCCTCTCTGTGTCCTTCTCTCCCTTTCTGTCTCCCTCCCTCTTCCTCTCTCTCTCTCCCTCTCTCTGTCTCTACCCTTCTACACTCCTGTAGCAATGATACTCAAGGTTGGCAAAGATGCCAGCGTGCAAAGCAGCGGCTGAAGTAGCACAGAATCCCGATTCAGACGGACATCGTCCCACTAACCTCTTGACACTTTCTGGTTGTGCGGTCTTGGGCAGGGCTGCTGGCCTCCCTGAGCCTCAGTTTCCTCACTTATCACACACAGTTACAAGGTAAGTGAGCAAATGCGTGCTCACTCATTGCACGGGATGGCAGCCCTGACCAGTGCTCTAAGCACTGCCCAGCACTTCTCATTCAACCCTCAGTATAACTCAGTGAGACAGAATCTGATTAGTAAATCATTCTCCATATGTATGGAGAGTGACACTGAGGGTTGGAGAGCATCAGTGATCCTGCCCAAGTCACACAAAGAAGAACAGAGAGCTGGAACTTGAACCCTGCCGTTCTGTCACTCAGATCACACAGACAACGCAGGAGCCTGGGCAGCCTCAGACTCAAAAGGTATACAGAGCCAGGAATAGTGGTGCATGCCTGTAACCCCAGCACCCAAGAGGATGAGGCAGGAGGATCACTGGGACTTTAGGCCAGCCTGGGCTACAGCGAGCTCAAGGCGAGCTGGGCTATGTGGTGAAACCTTGTCTCAAAAAGGGGGGAAAATATATGTAGAGGCAGCCAGGTGTGTTGGCACATGTCTGTCATGCCAATACTCTGGGAGACTCAGGCAGGAGGCTTGTAAGTGTGCGCCCAGCCTTGGGAATGTAGCAAGGCCTTGTCCCTGAGCTCAGAATAAAAGGCTGGGCATGTAGTTTAGTGGGAAGGCCCTGAATTCAAACCCCTGGTTCAGGGCTGCAGGGAGTGGTGGTCTGCCGAGGCCACAGTGAGGGAAAGCAGCAATCCCCTTAGATCGAGGGCCCGGGATACTCCTCTCCAGGCTGCTTGAGGAAGAAGCAATCAATCTTTCACTCAGAGCACATTTATTTGAGTGTCACTGATCAAGGTCAGCACCCACCGGGACTAAGGGAGCCTCCAGGTCACCTCTCTGGGCTTCCGTGTGAGTGCATAGATCTGGTCCTTCCAGGAGGAATGATTTAACCTCCAGGGACCTCGATTATTTCTCCTGTGAAATGGGAATAATAGAATTGTACCGGGCCCAAGAGAAGATGAAATGCTAAGTGTTCAAAACACTTAGCACATCGCCATTTATCATCTTAAGTGACAGTCGTCATTAACTGCTATTAATATACCTGAAGAGGTTACTTTCTGCTTTAAGGAGTATTCATTAAGCACCTACTTGGCGCTAATGCTGTATCTGCACGGACAGTGTCTTCCGATGCTCCAGCCCTTAGGAAATCAGTTTACAGCCTCTGCTTCGCTCATGCGAAGAAGGCTCCGGGCAGGGAGCAGGCCCAGAAGGATGAAGACCGGATCCCCTCTGCCTCCTTCCCCGGCCTCCTCCGCCACCAGACCTGAGAGCTACGCAGGTGGGGGCGCTCCGAGGCCGTCCTCGGGGAGAAGGGACGAAGGTCCGGGACTTCTATGTTAGACATGGGGAGCAGGGGACAACGCGCTGGATCACGGAGCCACGGTCCCTGCATCGCCTTGTAGACGCGCACTGGGTCTCTGACGCCTCGGTCCTGGGAAGCCTCGCTCCCCGCTCGCTGCAGCCTCGCGATTTTGGTTTTCAGGATGCGGGTTCGCAGGGGAGGGAGGGGGTGCAAGAGGCGGAGCTGCGGACTTGCGACAGGGGCGGGGCGGAGCAAGCCGGCACCGCGGCGGGCGCGCGGGGCTGCGGCGGCGGCGGCTCGGGTGAGTCCGCTCCTCCCCCCCAAGCCCCCGCCCCAACCCCATCCCGGGGGCGGGGGTGGCCCCGAAGCGTGGGAGCGGGGGTCGGTGTAGCCTGCGTGGAGCTCAGGCCGGGAAGAGGGAGTCTGCAGCGCTCGCTGGGCTCTCCGGGGGAGGGGCACGTGGCCCTGGCAAGAGGGGTCCCCGAAACACCTGGGTGTACCCCGCTCCTCTCTCACCGATCCCTAGGGTGTGAGGACCTTTTAACTCATCTCATGGCCCCTAAGGTCTTAGGAGTGCGCGGTCTTTCGAGGTCCTGGGTAGCATTGTCCTCCCTTGGAGAGACTTGGGACCCTGGTATTTTAACCCCCCCACACCTCGAGGGGGGAAAAAAATCCCATCCTCTCTGCAGCCCGGAGAGGCATTAAAGACTTCAACTCCCACTATCCCATGCGGCACCGAGCCAAAGGAATTGCAGCCGCCCGAGCGCGAGCTCTGCCGGGAGTTGTAGTTTCCAAGCGCTTACCGCTAGCTTGGGGGCGCCTGAAACGGGAGGAGGTGGCTGGACCCCTGAGGTCGCCTGGGGTCGGGCAGCTGGCTCGCGTCTAGTGCAAGATATGTGGCTAAGACTGAGCTTTTTCTCCCAGCTTCACCCCCCAACCCAGATCTGACACCCCTACCACCACCCACCGCGCGTGGGGCGTGGGGACGGTCCGCATCCCGTAGACTGCCCTGCAGCCCCCATGGGCTACCGCCCGCCGCCGCTTCGGCTGCCACCCAGGACCAGGCAGGAATAAGCGCAGGTGAGTGTGGCCATGCCTGCCTCAAGTCCTGGCCCTGTGCTGCACCCCCACGACACCTGCCCATCTGTGAGCCCTGTTTGTCCGTCCGTCTCTAATTCCCCTCTTCACCCTCTTCCAACTCTCTGGTGCCTGGCTCCCAGCCACGGGTCCCCCATGCCCTCATCCACCTCTTTCCTGATCCCTCTCCTGATGCTCCATCCACCCTTCCTCAGCTAAACTCTCCAGCCTGCCTCTCCAGCCATCGTAGGTCTGTCTGTCCTTTCCCTCTGCATCTCCCGTCCCTCTGGTGCCACTGGCTCTCTTAGAGATATTTCCGCCACACTCCCGCCTGCCCCTCTCCGCCCGTTGGACATGAATATCCAACCACACACTGGCTCAGTCTTTTGGGCTGCTCTCACCCCAAGCCTGAAGCCTTGACTTGGCTGTCTCTTCAGCTCTCTTCTCCGGGCCCCAGCGTGCCCTCCTCGCTGGTCTCTCTGCTCTCACATCTCTGTCCTTCACCTCCAAATCCACCCCTCCTGGGACCATCACACCTGCCTGCCCCCTGTTCTCTCTCCCTCTTCCCACCGGCTCCCTGGCTAACCCAGCCCCTTCACACCTGAGCCTCTGCTGCTGCTGCTCCTGCTGCCTAAACAGCCTTTCCCACCTCAGCCCTGCTGCCCAGGGCTCATCCCTCACACCCAGAGAGCCCACATGGCCGTCCCTGTCCCTAGTCCTGGGGGCACTTCCCCTCCAGCTGAGTTTCTTTCTAAAGCACTCCTCTCAGCCTTCCAGCGAGCTAGCGCTAGCTATCATCTCCTTCGTTGATGTGTGTTGGCTTTCTGGTTTTCTCTTGGTCCCCTCTGCTTGGATCAGGACACTAAGAAGTCAGGGCACCCTGATCTTGGTCCTTACTTCCCTGTTGTATCTGCTGCAGCCTGCCTGGCATGTAGTTGACTCCCGATGGACATTTGTTGAATGAACGTGGCATGGTCTATATGCCTTTCCTTAAATCTGTCCTTCGCCTGTGCTCCCTAACCTTTGCCTCCTTATCTGCCCATCCCTTGACTTGTGAACCTGCCTCTGTCCCTTTGCTGGCCTCCCCAGGGTCTCCTGCCTTATCTCCCTGTCCCTGTGTTCTGTCCTCCTGTCCACTTACACCTACCTCTGTCCCCGTGGTGTGCGCAATCCTGTTCTTGTTTCCTTGCCCACCCCTACTTTTGGTCCTTGTGTCTCTCTGCTCCTTATTTTCCCCTTGCCCTCCTTCCCACTGATATCTGTCCCTTTCCCTCTGCCTCTGCTCCTGGCCCCTGATCTGCCTGCCCCACCTCTGTTCTCTTCACCCATCCCCCCTTCCCACCCTTATCTCTGTACCCCTGCCTGCCTACCCCTACCCCAACCCCACACCTCTGCCCCAGCCTCCTGAGCACAGGACCAGGCAACTACCATGTCTGGAGACTACGAGGAAGACCTCTGCCGGCGGGCACTCATCCTGGTTTCAGAGCTCTGTGCGCGGTTCCGAGATGCCGACACCAGAGACAGGTGCCAGGAGTTCAACAGCCGGATTCCAGGCTACCCCCGTGGCCCTGACGCAGGTCAGAGCCCCCTCCTCCGCCCTGCATCTTGGCCAGCCCCCAGCCTACAGGGATTTGGGGAGTCACGCCTGCTCAGCTTCCCTCTCCCCTTGGGCCAGGCCCCTTTAGAGTCTAGCCTCCACCCCTCCTGCGGGGTTCTAGTCCTCTCTCCCTTGCCTGCTACGTGGATGGCTTTAGGTTAGCGACTTTTCTTCCCTTCCTCAGTCCCCTTATCTGGAAAACGGAGATGATAACAGGACTCCCTAGCTCCGCACAGTAGTGCGAGCCTGTTGTCCCAGCACTCAAAAGAGACAGCACCGGTGTAGCCCTCAAAACAGGGCAGTCATTGTACTGACATCAGGACTGAGGTACTAAGCAGCCGCCGTAGTCCAGGAAGCAGGCGAGGCCCCTGGGCATTTCACTGACCACATACAGTGACCCTTCCGGTAGCTATGATCCCATTTTTCTGTAGGGCAAACAGGCCTAGAAGAATGCTGCGACTTGCTCCAGTGCACAGGTTCAGGAGAGGGCTGAGATTGGGAAAGGTCATGGAAGCTGCACGGAGGACAAAGCAGCCGCCCGAGGGGCACTGCTGCAGCCCCACTGGCTGAGCCCTGGGACAGTGGGGCCCAGGCCACTGTGTGCAGGACTGTGATAAGGAGAGAGACCCAGGGGTGGCTGTCGCTCGCTCAGAGCCTCAGAGAGGCAGTGGAGCCAGACTGAGGTCAGAAGTTTGGGGGGCCCTGGGACCACATTCAGTCCCATGTTTTGCTGCAAGGATTCAGCACTGAAAAGCTGTCCCAGCCATGGTCACCACTGGTCACCGCAGAAGCTATCAGCACAGATCAGCAAGGGGGAGAGGCACAGGGCCTGAGGCCAGGAAAGCCCAGAGTGTCACATGTCATATTTAATTCTCCCACCAATAACGCACAGAATGTCATCACCAGGGAGGCCCACAGGAGCCTTAGCGCCAGGTGTCTATATGGGGGATGGTTACATAGACATGGCTGACCCCCTGAGGGTCTGCAGCC